TGGCCAGACTGGTCTGGAACTCTGACCTCAGGTGGTCCACCTGCCACTGCCTCACAAACTGCTGGGATTGCAGGCGTGAGTCACCGTGCCTGGCCGCAAATCTGAATGATTTTCAGTTTGAAAATAAAATATAAAAACTGTTATTGGAATTATTTCTAAACAGAACTAACATCAGAATCATCTGAATCATCAGAATAGTCTGGAAAAATCAGATTCATCAAATGAATCTTTGGCCAACAACTGTTTGAGAATGATGTTAGTATCACGCGTAGGAATGCTACATTTTCTAGGATTTGATATTTTCAGCCTTGGACAATTACTGTATTTTGTAAATGGAAATCCTGCTACTAAAAACACAGTGCTATAAACAGAATAATCTCTTTTGTTTCCAAAGTGGGTATACTAGAGTGATGTGAAAATAATAATAAAGCGAGATATTTTGTGGCAAAGTTATCTTGGGGAAGACGTCTCAGCTGCAGGTGCCACCAGTGAGTCTTCTCTGGGCAAACGAGGAAAGAATTAAGCAAATCACATTACACATTACTCTTAAATTGGTATCTATGTCTAGCCCTCAGACAAACCGTGATGCTTATTCTTTGCATTGGCAATGAGGTGGTCATTGAATGCTAGAATTATGAATTTTAATTTCATAAAATTTAATTGTTTTCAAAAATCGAAATAAAATGGATTTATTTCAATCATTTTGATGTACAAATTTGATTAATTCTTTTTTTTTTTTTTTTTTTTTGAGACAGAGTCTCGCTCTTTCGCCCAGGCTGGAGTGTAGTGGCACGATCTTGGCTCACTGCAAGCTCTGCCTCCTAGGTTCATGCCATTCTCCTGCCTCAGCCTCCTGAGTTACTGGGACTAGAGGTGCCCGCCACCACCCCCGGCTAATTTTTTGTATTTTTTAGTAGAGACGGGGCTTCACCGTGTTAGCCAGGATGTCTTGATCTCCTGACCTCGTGATTCACCTGCCTCGGCCTCCTAGAGTGCTGGGATTACAGGCATGAGCCACCGTGCCCGGCCCAAATTTGATTAACTCTAATTTGTATGTTGCATTTTTGTGTAATAAATACTTTTCTTTTTCTTTTTTTCTTTTTTTTTTTTTGAGATGGAGTCTCGCTCTGTCACACAGGCTGGAGTGCAGTGGCACAATCTCGGCTCACTGCAACCTCCACCTCCTGGGTTCAAGCGATTCTTCTGCCTCAGCCTCCCAAGTAGCTGAGACTACAGGCACACCACCATGCCTGACTAATTTTGTTTTTGTATTTTTAGTAGAGATGGGGTTTCACCACATTGGCCAGGCGAGTCTCGAACTCCTGACCTCGTGATCTGCCTGCTTTGGGCTCCCAAAGTGCTGGGATTACAGGCGTGAGCCACTGCGCCCAGCAATAGATACTTTTCAATATTCGAAAAGAATATTGTTTGAGAAAATATTTCTGACAAAATTAAATTTTTTACATAAACATATTTTTGATTAAAATATTAAGATATTTGTACTTTGAACATGGTTGTTTTAATCCTTACATGTATTTTTAAATCTTGACAATAATAACATAATTGATTTTGCTGAAAGGAAGATAAGAAAAATAAATTTCATGGAATAGTTTCAGTAATTTATAAATTATACCTATCTTTATTTTATTACTCATTTCAATATTAAGAATTGCTTGAACCTGGGAGGCAGAGGCTGCAGTGAACTGCCATCACATCACTGCACTCCAGCCAGGGCAACAGAGCGAGATTCCGTCTCAAAAAAAAAAAAAAAAAGCAAAGAAATTTTATGATCTTTGACATTTTGCTAACTTTCTGTCATCTACAAATCATAGCTTCATACACATTTAAAAATTTTATCCTTTTAAAGGAGTATTTGTCAGGAGATGAGGCTAGAACATACTTTATTTAGCTCCCTGTTAGTTCAGTTTATAACTTGCAAATATTTAGACAGACGGCTTGTGGCATCCATCTGTCCTCTTGCCCTGAGCTGCACATCCAGACTTGACTCATGGGCCCCAGCTTGGGCTTTGCAGTTCTTTGGATGGATAGGAATCTACCCAGGGCTCATGTTTGTCACAGCTGGGGGGCCGGGGGCGGAGGGTCCCTCTGGTCCCCCTTTGAATGTTGCAGACACCATCTTCTCTCAGATTTTAAGCTGCAGAGACCACATTTCCAGCATGTGGTCTTGAGCTGTGGAAACCCCTCCTCCTGCCCAGGACTCTCACTCTACAGACATGAGTTCATTTAGGTCCCCGAAGCCCCTGTAGAGTTTTGGCCATAAACGGTTCCTCGTAAAGTGGTGCCCCCAGGATGTTCAGCCTCCCCCCGGCCCCTGCAGGCCTCCTATCCCAGGGTGCCATGTGCTGCTGCCCTGCTGGGAAGAGAAGTCCGGAGGGCACGGGGCAGCACTGCCGCTTAGAAGCCCCTTGTACTTTCTTTCTGTCAGATCCTGCCGCCCTGTTTCAGAGGGAAGAGTGGGTTGTCAGTAACAAAATGTTTTCTCCCTTGCCCCTTTTTCGCTACAGTTGGTAGACATTTCTCCCAGACTTCCTTGGTGACTAGTGGTGTTGGGATGTTGTGGCCTTCACAGGGAGGGGACAGGTTGTCAGGTCACCGTTTCACAGATGGTTGACCGATGCTGACTGTAACTGGTAGGTCTCTTCTGGCTGCAAGTGACAGAAACCCAACTCAAACTTGTCCTGCAAGTAGGAACATTTATTGCATCTCAGACTGGAAGGAAGGGGAAGGGTGTGTTTGGGTCCCAGAAGCCAGATACAAAATGCCATGTTTTATGTAACTCCATGTATATGAAATGTCCAGAATAGGCAAATCCATAGAGACAGAAAGTAGATTAGTGGTTGCCAGGGATTGGGAGGAGCGGGGTGGGCAGTAACTACTAAATGGGGTTTTGTTTTAGATTGGTGAAAATATTCTAAAATTGAGTGAGGTGGTAGTTGCACAACTCTGCAAATATACTAAAAAACCATTGAATTGTATACTTTAGTAGAATTAATTGTATGATACATGAGTTATATCTCAATAAAGCTGTTACCAAAAAATATTGTTCAAGATCTGGCCAGGCAATGCCCCTTTGAGCTAGCTCTTGTGTCCATTTGACATGCCCCAATCCATACTTCGCGCACTCTTTAAATTTCTGGTACAACAAGAATCCAGACTTATCTCATAACCCTTTCCTGCTGCGGCCTGGGAGTCAGCCATATTCCCTAGAGTTGCGGTTGCTTGTTGTGTGGAATGTGAACCAAGATCTGGCCATTATTTCATTTAATCATCACATCTTGTTTTCTGCTTTTAGAAACCAAAAGAATGTCTCATTGTGGGCTGCTACCATCATATGCAGGAAGTTTTAGAATGAAAAAGATTCTGAATTGATCCTTGCTAACTTTATTTCAGAAAGTGGTAAAATAGCTGTGGAGTATAGACCCAGTGAAGAGATTGTAGATGTCAGATGGGAAGAAGAACTACACGGTTTAATTCAAGTATGTGGAGATAAAAACTCAAGAGTAACAGGGCCGGGCGCAGTGGCTTACACCTGTAATGCCAGTGCTTTGGGAGGCTGAGGCAGGCGGATCACGTGAGGTTGGGAGTTCAAGACCAGCCTGACCAACATGGAGAAATGGTGGTGCATACATCCCAGCTACTCAGGAGGCTGAGGCAGGAGAATTGCTGGAACCTGGGGGCAGAGGTTGCAGTGAGCCGAGATCACACCCTTGCATTCCAGCCTGGGCAACAAGAGTGAAACTCCATCTCAATAAACAAACAGGCCAGGCGTGGTGGCTCATGCCTGTAATCCCAGCACTTTGGGAGGCTGAGGCAGGCAGATCATGAGGTCAGGAGTTCAAGACCAGCCTGGCCAACATGGTGAAACTGCATCTCTACTAAAAATACAAAAATTAACTGGGTGTGGTGGCGGGCACCTGTAATCCCAGCTACTTGGGAAGCTGAGGCGGGAAAATCTCTTGAACCTGGGAGGTGGAGGTGGCAGTGAACTGAGATCATGCCACTGCACTCCAGCCCGGGCGACAGAGGAAGACTCGAGAAAAGAAAAGAAAAACAACTCAAGGGTCAGAGAACATAGCCAGTGTAATCATAATTCAAAACAAGCAGCAGAATTTGGAGGATAATTTGTTTCATTCTCAGGAAAATGTGAAACTCCGAAACTGCTTTTTGAGTGCAGGGTATTTCTGGGGCTTTTCCTAAAGTCTTTGCTCTGACCCCTTATTTGGAGTTTGGAGACAGAACTGAGGACTGTGTTACTACAGCTGTGGACATAGGAGAGGGGTTAGTCTCCCCCGGCCCCAGGAGTAAGGGAAGCTGGGCTGCTTGAACACAGGCCTTTTTAGAACTCCCTTCAAACAGGATCCCAGAGATGTGGGAGAGTGTAAGTGGCCTCAAGAATGATTGTGCTACAGCTTTCGAAAACTATAATGCCTTTCAAATATGGCTTATTACTTGGATCTCAATATCTCCCATATACTTTGGGTGGAATATTTTGCTGAAGATTTTTCTGTCAATCATTTACAATCCTGTGCTGAAAAATGAAGTTTCAGTCAACAATAGACCACATATATGATGGTGGTTCTATAAGAGTATAATGGAGCTATTCCTATACAGGTATACCATTTTTATCTTCTTCTTCTTTTTTTTTTTTTTTTTTTTTT